ATTTTATTTATATTTATATAGATAATAGTATTTCTATATAGTTACTATATAGTTATTATTTTTTAAAATTACTAATAAAAATATAAGCAAAGCCTTATCTTAATATAAAAAAAATATTAATTTTAAGTTTATAATTTCTAATACAACTTTATAGTTTAAATAAAAGAAAGTTATATTTATAATACTGTGTTATATAACACCTTTATATCTCAAGAATAAAGTAGTCCTAAGTCAGTATGTAAAATGATATGTCTGTGAGACTGGTTCTTAAAACTGGAAGAAGGGTGCCAGTTGTTGTAGGCCTCAGAGTATATAGATATAGAAGATTTAAATGAGTAGCTCTAGTTGGGTTACAGGTATAGCAAATAGTATAGAACCTAGTAATAGATACTTAAATAGATACTTAAAAAATATAGATATAACTAAATATACTCTTCAAATATGTATAATGATGTTTAAAAACAATAAAAGCATAGCATGACCAAGAGGTCACCTTAAAATCAAAAAAAAAAAAATATCTTTATACTATATCTCAAAAATATACTAAGTAAATAGATATAGGTACTCTAAATAAAAATATTTAGTATCCTTAAAAACTTTATAAAAATTGAAATTAGAACTTATTGAATCTTTATATCTAATATATATTGTATAATAAAAAATCTCTATTTATCTTAATACCAAACTCTAATCCTAAATAAAACATAAAGGTATTATATTAATATGGAGTTATAAATATAATATTTTTTAAATAAAGGATTATAATTTTAATTATTATAAATTTTGTAATTTACTTATAAAAATTAATACTTGTCTTAAAATTAAAAATTTTTTCTAGCTTTGAAAATATATAAAATTTTAGAAAACTTAAAAAAAAGTTTAATAGTAAACTCTAAAATTATACAAACTTTAAATTTTAATTAATTAAAAATTTTTAATAAATTTAAAAAATTTTCTTAACAAAATTAATAAAATAGGTTTTTAAAAATATTTTTTGCTTAAAAAGTTTATTGTTAAATTTAATATTTAAGATTTTATTAAAAAATTTAAATTTAAAAAAATATAAGCAGACAAATTTGCCTGCTTTATAAATTAAGAGATATTTTATAAACAATACTTATATATAATACTGATTTAGACCAGTAATATATGTTTTAACTATCCAAAGCCTTTTTAATATTATCTAATATCCAAGTATCCAAATGTTCAAAAGTATTCAGAATATATCCAAATTTTGATTTTTTTCAGCATGTCTTGCTACTGTTTTATTAAGATATAATCAAGCAAAAATTACAAAAATTTTTAATTAAAGTTACTATCTATTAACTACAACAAGTGACTTACTCAACTTAAAAACCCAAGTGCAATATCATCTAGTGACAGTTCACCTTCCTCTTGGCTTCTAACTTATTAGAGGCATGAATTCTTCGATCATTAGCTAGTCTACATGCTGTATTAGTATCATTTTTTTTTTATAAAAATGAAGAAACCAATACAAGAATCAAAGGGCAAAAGAAAAAAAAGAGTAATACTGCTATATCTGAATTCAATCTACTTAATCAAATAAAACTAAAAACAAATAACAAGAAAAAAACAAAATAAAAGAAAAGAAAACAAAAATAATACTATTAAACCTATGCTAGATTATAAAAATTATATAGTACTACTAAATAATCTAGTCAAGCTCTACACTAGTTATTTATATCTATATCTAGATATTAAAAAATAAAAAAAACTATCTATTCTTGAGTAGAAATTCAAGTTTGAAATTTTTGATCAGTTTCAATTTGTTTTCTTCAAAACTTCTACAATGCTACTCAAGTATAATTTTTTATACATAATGCCCATAAGTCCTACTGAGTCAGGACTTCTGTTATGATCCCAAGGAGCAGAAGGTCAAGTATACTTTTATCTCAAAGTAAACATGTACATATATATATGTCTTTCTTTTTCTGGTAGTGATTGTTGATATCATTCCTTTGATGGGTATACTGAATTTTCTACTTTTTTTAAAATTTCGTAAAACACAGCAAGTAAGATAGTAAAGAGGAGTTTGGTTTGCAGGTAGCTTTGAACTTCAATAAGAAGTGTGTAAAAAACTCACTTGTTTCTTTTTTTAAAACCAACTATTTTTACTTCATTGACAGAAGCTATGCTTTTATTAAATTTTTTTGTACAAGAACACTACCTTTTTGCTAGTTATCTTATACAAGAACACTTTTAACTTGCTTGCTAAATATATAGAGAAGTCTAAAAGAAAACCTGAAATATCTTGATCTCTGTAAAAACTGTTATTTCTAATTGTTTTTTTTTATCTTCTCCAATAAGTTTCTGTTTTTGTTAGCTGAAAGTTTAGTTCGAGTGATCATCAGGAAGAATTGATTGTATATCCAAGTTTTAATAATTAATAAATTTATTTAAAAAATATATAATTATATATTTTTTTAGATGCTAAACATATTTTATTTAGAAATTAATATAGATTATCTTAATAAAATTTTGAGTAATTTCAATTTATTTAATTGTTCAAAATTGTTTAAAGTGTTCAAACTTACTGTTCACAACTGCCCCATGACAACACTGGTTTAAACTGCTGGTTTTCATTTTGTATTACTGTATAAATAAAATTTCACAATTCCGATTGGTTAATTACACAAAAAAGTCACATGGGTACATGACTTTAGACAACCCCTTATCAGGGATGGTGAATAATAAGGATTATAAGGATTTGTATCGATTGCATTAAAAATTGTAAAAATATCAATTTTTCTTAAAAACATCGGTTTATATATGATGTAACAATATGCACTCGGGCAAAATTTATAATTCGGACCAGGCAATATAAATTTGGTCAACTTGAACCGTCGGTAAGCTTCGGCAACGTAGACAATCAACAAACATGCTAGAAGTAGAGCAGAATTTTATTTATTGATCACGTTACATCACGTTATCTGTGACTGTTATACAAAATTTTGCATTTTGATTGGCCAACCAGGGATATACCGATATTTTTGACCATATCGATCGATATTTTTTGCAAAATCAAATCGATATTATTCACCGTCCCGTCCCTGCCTTATTAGGTAAAAGATAAATATGATCATCACACCGTGTATCATTAAACCTAGGTGCCGCACAAAAAATGCGCGGTTAATCCTCGATTTTGATTGGCCAACGGCGACGATCAAAAATTTAGGCCAAAATGAAATCGCGGCCGCCCATTAAGTGAAAAATGTTCCTGGGCTAATTTTACCATTGTGCGGGCCTACTTCTCTAAAAATTTCCATTTTAGGAATGAAAAAGTTAAAAAGTTAATTCCGGCCAAAATTATGTAATGCGGGCCCAATCCGCGCATTTTTTGTGCGGCAGCTAGGTTTAATCCGAGTATCTGGTATGACGTAGAGAAGGCCATTTTACACGATTATTTCTACTACCCATTTAATGTCTTGGGATTTTGCCATTGGCCAATCAGATGATCTAAAATAAACGTTCGCCTTGAAAAAAAACCGCTGTATTTCAAAATTTGGCATATAAAACCACTTTGTGCCCTAACAAAACTTTTCCTTGATCATTTTACTATATACAGTCGCAAGTATTGTATAAACTTCTTTAAATGCATGATAAGTATGGTCTAACTTATAAGAACTCTATAAATTTTATTCTCAATAAGTGCAATCCCTCTTTTTGCAATTTTTCACTATGGTCCCGAGAGGATGCACTTAGGGAGGTTGCTAACTCACCATAATATAATTTTTATAATCATGTGATCACGAAATTTTCTGGGAAGACAAATTTTAGAAACTAAACTATTGCGGTGAATTCAAATCAAAAATTTTAATTGAGTTTGGTCGGGTATTGTCGAGAACTGTATTTTGTTCAAGATTTTAAAAACTTTTGGTTTGCTACGGGGTATGAATAAACGTGGGTAGAAAAAACAATCCCTTGGTTATCTGCTAGAAATGTTAATTTACTTAAATAATATTACTCGCATGAAATTGAGCCTTAATGCGACCATTATCAGCAGACTGAGTAAAGTAAATAATAAATTTTGTCATGTCTTCTTTATTCGACTTCTTTTTGCCATTATGATTGAAAATGCACGAAGCAATTGAGCACCAGCAATACCGCACCAATTACTTCTTTACCTAGCTTCAATGCTTTCTCTTTATCTTCACGACTACCAATACCATTATACAAATAATAAGCATACAATATCTCTTCAAAAAAAGTTCGATTTTTTCTTTTCTATTTTCAGAATTTTTGTCTAATTTCTTCGCTTATGATTTGGACTATATCTTCTTTTGGAATAATGCTTTCTTCCATTTTAGTTTCCAAGAAAATAGTAAATAACTCTTTTAATGAAAGTTTAGAAATAACTCGCTCTTTTTATTTTGCAATCAAACAATTTAGTAGAAATTCAATATTAGGCTTTTTTTGTAATTAACTCTGGTCATTTAAATTTCAAAGACTATAAATAAATTTTTATTAATTATGATCTCACATGCAATTGACAAACATGGTTTTAGAATACAGTGTTTATTTTTCTTTTCGTGAGTGTTCAACTTTAACAAATACTCAATTTAATCAATTTGCTATATATACATAAATAATTATTTCGCGTAATCTAGGACTCGTTGATATATATATAGTTTTAAAATAGGATTTATGAAATTTATTCTGTAAATAAAAATTTTAATCTATTCTGTATATTACGTAATTTTTAAAAAGTATTACGTATAAATAACATATTTCCATTCTCGATTATAACTAATTTTCACTCATGATGATATATCACCGATATTATAAATTTTTATAAAAATGAATAGATTTAAGGCTAGTTTAAGTTATGGTTAGATGGCTTAGCTATATGTAAATTAATTTCGAAGTGTAGTTTTAATTTTTTTCATACTTTCGCTTATTTTAGTAACACAAGATCCTTGGTCTAATTGGGTTTTCATATGACCGGGTAACATCACCAGGAGAAAATTAATAACAATCCTTCAGTAGTAGTTTTCACAGGGGCCAATTGATGCGGTATTTTGATTATTTGGTGTTTGTTCTTGGGCAATAAATGCTTCTCTAAAAATTGTCGTGGTATTTTGATTATCTAACGATGATCCTTGGTCAGCAAATGCTTCGGCAGTCTCCAAAAGAAAGTTACGATTATAAACAATAAATCTATCGACAGTCGCTTCGGCAAATGCTTCGGCAGTCGCTTTGGCAGCCCTCAAAAGATTATAATCATAAATATGTAGGGTTTCGAAGTTTGGGTAGAAGAATTGAAGTTCTTCAGTAGTAGTAATTTCATAAGGGTTATTTAATGTGATAATTGGTGTTGGTTCTTGGTTAATAATTGACTTAGTATTTTGATCATCTAAAGTATGTCCTTGGCCGAAAGAAGGAATTGTAGTGTTAATTGATGTAGTATTTTGATGATTTGGTGTTAGTTCTTGGCCAATGAATGCTCCGGTAGTTCCCAAAAAAGATTCATAAAAGTTAATTGACACGGCATTTTGATCATCTAACGTTTGTCGGCCAATGAATGCATCAGTAGTTCCGAAAGAAGGAATAGTAGTGATATGATTATAAATATGTGAATGATTTGATGTTGGTTCATGGTCAATTAATGTTCCGGTAGTTTCAAAAAAAGGTTCGTAGGGATTAATTGGCGCGATATTTTGATCATCTAACGTTTGTCCTTGGTCAATGAATGCATAAGTAGGTCCGAAAGAAGGAATAGTAGAAATATGATTATAAGTATGTGAGGTTCCGAGGTGTGTAGTAGTAGTTTCGTAAGGGTTAATTGATGTGGTAATTTGTGTTAATTCTTGGTTAATAAGCGTTTCGGTAATTCTAAGAGAAGGTTCATAAGAATTAATTGACGCGGTATTTTGATCATTTGGCATTTGTCCTTGGCCAATGAATGACACAACAGTTTCGAAAGAATAGATAGCTTCGGTAGTTCTGGGCGACCTAGGCCTTCGCCCGCGTCTTCTACCCGGGGTAGTGATACAATTAAGTCCATATCTTCTACAGTATGGACAAATGTCCCTTTCAGAAAGCCATTCACACCTTCGGTGTCGTGTTTGACAATTTGTACATGCCTGAGTCGCATTAGTACGTAATCTATGTGGTTTATTTGATTGAGACATTTAAAAGCGATCTGACAGCAGCGGTAATACTAGGTAAAAAATAATGTGATATGAATACGATCCTGACTGTAAAAAATAAAGTGCCATCCAAAAGACGCTTTTGG